TGTGATTCTGGCGCGGCAGGCCTTTAGAATTCCCTCAGGCTAATGTCTTAAATAAAACACAGACAGAAAAGATTTTTGACAATGACCTTGAACCAAGACAGGACTCGGGTTGGAGGGGTGGAGAGGATCAAGACTTTAGGAAAAAGCAAAACACAAACAGGTATTTGGCTCAAAGAATTTTGTAGAATACATGAGTACACATACCCAAATACACAGTTTCTTGCAGTAAGAGTCTACAATAACAGAAAGAGTAAACCCACCACTTGCTGTCCTGGAAAGAAACGAACCCAAACAAAACAAATCCTTTGAACATGTCTCTTAAGTGCAGCCTCCTCTCAGTAAAAGTCCAAAGGGAAAAACAAAATTGCACCCCACCCCTCCCAAAAAAGTGGGGGTTGGGATGGTTACATACGACCAAAAATTTCAGCTTCTTTCAATAATAGCATCAGTATTAAAATAGTATATCTTCTTTTAAACGCTTGAGAGATTAGGGGAAGATACACACAACAAAATCCAACGGATGCAAGATCCTACAATTTACGTAACATCACAAACTTGCAAAAGAAAAAATCAGAAGCAAAAATCCGAAAATCATCAAAATACAACCACCCCAAATCCCAAGCCATCACATCAGCAAAGAAAAACTCTCCCAAATAAAAATAAAGCAAATGAACCCACCGAAAACTGCTTGGCAAATATTTTTCTCGAGGTGCCTAATATTCTAGCTGGAAAGAGCTGTGGTGTTTTTTCTCTTACTCGCTTCTAAACCTACTATACATAACAGACTTTTTCCAATGGTTCGAATCTCTCGCTCCCTTTTGTGTAAATTAGCTCGAGGAGCTGACTTTATGGGTAAGAGAGGAGAAATTAGCCCCAGACCCCGGGAAAGCAAAGCGCACTCCCCTTCTTATGTCACCGAATAGCAAATTAGTTCTCAGAATTCCAGAGGCCGAGCTTTGCTACAGCGAAGACGCCGACGTCACAGAGGGAGAGCCCACGTGACTGTGGCGGAGCAGGCCGTACCATTGTCCTGAGTCCGGGGAGGGAGGGCCACTGTCTGTACCCTCGAGCCTCGAACAGGAACCTCCAAATTCGAGACACTTGGCCCATTAGAACCTCTAAATATGTCGGACAGTGGAAAAATATTAGGTCTTGTAGGGCTTTTTACGGGCGAAAAGAGGCAAAAGTCTCGGAGAGCTGACGCCAAGTCCTCCCCTGCCATGTAGCAGTGGTAAAGTCCGAAGCTCAAATTCCGAGAATTGAGCTCTGTTGATTCTTAGAACTGGGGTTCTTAGAAGTGGTGATGCAAGAAGTTTCTAGGAAAGGCCGGACACCAGGTGATTATTGCTGTTGCTGCCGCCGCTGCTGCTGCTGCTGCCGCCGCCGCTGTTGCCGCTGGTGCCGCTGCCGCCGCCGCTGCTCATAATCATTATTTTACCTTTTAATTCTTTTTTTCCGCTCTTGCCAAATGCTTTGGCTCCAAGTTTCCTATGTGTATCTATTGATATAAATGTATATATTTATTTATTCTAGCTGTCAGGTGTTAAAATAAATGCCGAAGATTAGTCCCACGTCTCTCCCACTCTAAGATAGAGATTTTTTTAAATGTATTTATTGTTTTATTCTTGTTGCCTTTTGAGTGAATCGGCCGGTTTGGGGAGGCTTTTGCCACCCTCCCTTGTGTTGTTTTGGTTTTGGAAAAGGAGGTGGAGGAGAGGAAGGAGGGGAGTTAGGGGGCAGCCGGAGCTGAGAGGACGAGACAGTGTTTGGGGGGTGATTCGGGCAAGTCTGGGGGCTGTCTGGCCCTAGACCGCGGAGAGGACGCGCGCTCGCGCTCTAGCTTTCTGCTGCCTGCTTGCGTACGGCTTATGATCTCGCTGGATTCGTGCGGCTGTGTTTTTTTCCTCTTTTCTAGCTTGCAAACTGCCTTCCTCGCTAACCTCGCTCCTGCCTCCGCTTCCCTCCCTCCCTCCACCTTTCCCTCACCTCTTCTTCCATCCCCTCTCCGTCCTTCTTAGTAACTCCGGGAGGCGAGGCGGGAGGCTGCCTGCTCGCTCGCCCCGCTGGCTCTTTTCCACCGGCCTTGGTCCTCTAGATTCACTGCCTCCGAGTCGAGATTTGAAAGGGAAAATGTTAGCTTAGTCCTCGTGGTTTTTTTTTATTTTATTTTATTTTATTTTTATCCCCCTAAAACCTAGATGAAGTATAGTTTCTACTCTTTACTTTCAGAGCTGTGATCTCCCTAACGAGATGCGAGTGTTTTGGTGTCCCCTTCCCCAGTGTTTTGGAAGAGGTTTAGCTTGCCTGGGGGCGGGGATGTTGAATACTTTGAAAATTATTCTTTCTTGGTTGCAGTTGAGGGAGTTCGGAACACCCTCGCGCTCCCTCTCCCCATCCTAAGGAAGGAAGCTGATGGCGGGATGGGGTTTTGGGGAGTGGGTGGGAAAGGGGGTGCGCGTTTGCACCTGCGGTGCTGTTTGGCGTGTGGGGACTCTGGGAACCTTCACAGGACAGCGCAGCCAAGCAGGAAGGTGGCGGGATTTCTTGGCGGTTGCGGTGTTTGTATTTTGGGCGCTGCGTGACTCGGTGTTAGCTCCCAATGGTTCCTAAATTTTAGTTTATTTTTCCCATGGTGCAAGCTTTGTAAATGACAACTGTGGGCCAGAGAGTAGCCGACGTCAGGCTTCAAATTCCCGAGGTCCGTGCACTGGGCGAGGGGAAAAACAAAACAGCCCCAGCCTGCGTTCCTCTGTGCAAGACCCGGGAAGAGAGAAGGGCACTTTGTGGTCCTGGCCGGGCGACCGGGCGAGGGAGGAAGGGGCGCGGGAGCGAAAGGGAGATCTTTGTAAGTGATTTTGCAAAAACGGATTGCGAGGTTGGTTGGATTTGCAACCTGTGGCTCTCCTCGAGGGAGTAGGAAAGGGAGAAGGCGGCGGCGGCGGCGGCGGTGGCGGCGGCGGCGGCCGGGCCGGGAGCGGGTAGGGAGTTGGAGCCTCCGAAGTCGGCTGCTCACAGGGGCAGCTGTAGCGAGGGGCCACCCCGCTGCCGGCTGCAGTGACCGTGGTAAATGTCTTGAGAACTGTGGATTGCGTTGCCTGTATGATGCTGTGTTATTGGAACTCTGGCGAAAAATGGAACTAGTGTTGCAATCATGAGTTTTAAAGGTCCCCCATGGAAAACAAGAACACAACACAAATTTTAAAAGAATGAAAAAAGACCCCTTTTACGTTGTATCCCTTCTCAGGATAATTAAGACTTGGTGGTGGGGTCCTGGCAGCTGAGCAGGGGCATTGACCCTAAATAGGGTGCTGAAAGTCCAGAGGTGTTACTCTGGGTCTCTCACTGTCTCAGAGAGCTGGCCCTCCCCTTATCCCCCCTAAACTGATTTCATTTTTCATGGAGTTTTTTCCAGTCAGTTTATAGTTTCCAGGAGAAAAATCTTATAATGCTTTTTTTTTTTTTTAGTAAAGTGAATGTCAGTAGATGCATTTTTTTTTTTTTTTTTTTTTTTTTTTTTTTACTGTCCGGAAAGAAAAAAGTGGGGCAGGAGAGAGGGAACCAGGGAAAGGGCTGTTTAGAAATACAGTTTGTGGCTCTGAGCGATGCCACTGGCTTCCTCTACAGAGACTGCCAGTTTCCCTTTTTCTTTGCAAGGTGTGTGTGGTTTTAATAAATAACTTTAAAAAATAAGGGGGGTAGCAAGATCCATTGGGAGACAGGTATCTGTTTTGCTCACTATTTACTACCAAGAGCCTCTGGCACTGGAACAGAACCTCGTAAATCTGCAGCCCAAGTTGAAGTTCATCTGGCCCTAGTCCACACGCTATTCCTGGAGGTAGCAAACATGAGCTCAAAGGAATGAGGCGAAATCACATTCTTGCTTTAAAATATATACATATATACTTTTTTTTTTTTTTAAGAAGAAAAGGTATTTGTCTCTTAGGGAGAAGGAAATGGAAAGACAGCACCAGGAGATGTGCATTCCCCTGCTGAAATGACTGCAGTTGAGTCTTCAGGCCAAAATAGAAACTTGTAGATGGGAAATATCCCCCCCCACACCCATTTATTAATAAAAATTTCCAATATCCTATTATTTGAAAGACTTTCTAATACTGCAGGCCCAAGCATTGGCTGATTTTTAAGGGTCTCTTGATAGAGACAGTAAGGCCAGAAGTTGTTTGTGAAAACTAGGCAACTTGAAGAAGGCAGCCAGAGGAAGCGGGAATACTCCAACTGGCTTTTTCCTCTGTGCTCAGTTTGGAAGGGTTTTACCCATGCTTTCTTGAAAAGACCTTCCAGTTCATTCTTGGTTTGGTGGACAGGGGTGGGACCCTAAACTCTTAAGCTGTTGTTTGCTGAGCCTTGAAGAGTTCCAGTTATTGGTTGAGTAAATGGTAGCCATGACTAGATGTCAAAATCCTTCCTTCCCTCTCTCCCCTACCCGGTAGCCACACTCACTACCCACTTTGTTGTGAAAAACTTAAGATTCAGAGGAGGTGGTGTGGCAGCGCCACCCCTTGGTGCATGAAACTCTTATGTGCACAAGTCAAATATTTGAAAAATATTGTGAAATGACCTTAGGAGGATTTTTCCCCCCTTTAGGAATGGGAGATAAAGAACTAACTTTTTTTTTTTTTTGAAAGGACTTTGTGATTGGTCTCTCAAATGGGAAAGGAAAAGGTTGCTTTTCAGCTAGGATGGTGTCCTACGATAGGCAAAGTCGTTCGAATAAGAGTGTGCCTGTGTGTGTGCCAGCCCCAGGGAGGGGAGGGTTGCCTAGTTGGCTTTAAGTAAGTGAGTTCTCCAAGAGGAGGTAGTCCCCCTTCCCTTTTGGACTTGACTTCTCAGGGCACCTGAATGCTGCTGCCTGTGAGACATTGAGATAAGAAGGAATGTTCTAGTGTAAAAAGTCCATGGTGACTGGAAACCCTGTACTTTCGCTAGCGGCGATGGTGTATGGGGGAGGGGTGGATTCGGGAGTGAGGTCAGGGGGCTTGCTTGGGGCGGTGGCTGTCCGGTCTGTAGCTGCTTTCAGAGTCCAGTAGGAGTCAAAGTGGTGTGGCGCATGCCGGTTTCCTGCACTGCGCAACAAGTGGGAACGCTGCCGCAGTGATCCGAGTGAGGGTGGTGTGTTGTGGCAAAGCTGGCTGATTTCTCTTCGACCCACTGGAAGCCGGGACTGCTTCTCCCAATCTTTCCTGCTTCCCAGTCCAAGATCAGTGACCCCACCAAAAGACCAAACTCATCCCCTCAACCCCCCCTCCCAGATTTTCTCGGAGCGCCGTCAGCCTGGGCGGGACCCTGCCCTGGCCTCAAGAGACACCTTTCTTTATGAGCATCAGGAGTTTATTCTGGACTTTCTTTGCTAGCCGACCAGTGTTTGACAGAACGCTCTGCTAAATGCCTTCGAGTGTCGAGTGACATTCTGCTTTTTGAATGGAAGTGCACTCTTTCCCTTTTCAATACGTTCAGCCTTTCCAGCTGGAAAAATCAACGTGTATTTCACGAACTCAGTTCCAGATAATGTGCTGTGGTTGCTAGAGGTGTGAGCATCGCGAAGAACAGAATCACATCTAGTAAATTAAATGTTTTCCAGCTTTGCCTATGAAGGCAACCCCTCCCCCTAACAGACAGAAAAAACGGGGGGCGGGGTTGGGTGGAGATAGTTGGGGATAGTCGGGTGAGGTAGGTTGCGGCGGCGCGGTGATTTTCGGATGGACTGAGTCTGCCACCTAGTGATAGGTCTTGGCTGAGATCCCCGCTTTGGGCGGTGAGTTGACCGCTTCATCTCTGGTCTCCAGGTATCCTGACCAGGTGCTAGGGCTGACAAGGGAGGACACCCTCCAATGAGGATGGCATCTGACCTTCAAAGTTTCAGTAAGTTGGATGAAAATTAGAAAGTCTCCGGATGCTTGCCCGGTTCATGCTTGCTTAGTGATGGTTACCTCCAAGAAGAGAATTGTAAAATAACCCGTTTGGATCACACTATCTCCTTTTCACTGTGGCCTCTCGGGGTGGAGGTTGGGGAGCAGGGGAAGGAGGAGTAGATAGTGGAGGAATGCCGCCTGGGTTCTAGGACATCTCTTTACAGTTGAGGAAACAGTCCTGATGAGGAGGCCTGTTCATGGTGAGATAGGACTTAGCCTGGGCCAGATTCTAAGCTTCTGAATCTCCAGGTCAATGAGTGAAAGTCAAAGGCATGTTTATTTCCGCTCCTTTGACGTTATCTAAGAGAAGGAACAGCAGTCAGAGAGACCTTGCTTTTAACCTCTAGGTCACTGCAGTTAGAAATGGTTCTCCACCTGTCTTAGAGGAGTTAGTTCATAAAGTATGGCCTAAGATTTTCAGTAACCAACATGAAAAGCCTACAGTTGTGCTGAAAGGTGGAGATGGGATCTCAGGTCTTGGGGATGCTTCTGTTAGGGAGTGATTAAGGCCCAGTCTTTAGACATGCAGAGATGCACCTTGCTGCACCAGAGGCTCACATTTAGATCCTGAAATCCCTATCTAACCCCTTCTTCCTAAACTTTGCTAAATGGCTTGGAGAGGAATCAGTTGTGTGGGTGGGTCGTATGTATCGGCAAAGTGTAATCAGAATTTGTGCCACACAGGCTTCATAGCTAACTTTTCTTTTTGGGAGCTAAAAACTTAAGATGGCAAACGTGCTTCCGTGTCCTGGCGGCCCCTAGTGACCACGAGCACGCACACCCGTAGGAGACGCAGTCGTCTCCACCGGCCTGGCCCGCCAGAATCGAGTTTAACCTCTCCCACTGTGGGAGCTGCTGGAGGCCGCCTCGGAGAAACGCTCCTCTGTTCGGGTTGGAAACGAATCTGGGGACATGTTTGAAGAGCGGTCAAGTTTGACTCATCGCTTTCCAAGGACAGTTAGTGCCTTCCATCTTCATTAACGTGAATAAAAAGACCTTGGCTGACTTCTGTCCAGATCAGGTTTTTAAAGGCATTGTTTGGTTGGGAAGATCATGCCGCTCCCCTCCCCCGCCAGCCTTTTTGCAAAGACCGAGTGGGTCCAGCCAGGATGGCCGAGATATCTTTGCTCAGGACGTTGTTTGCTGGCACTGTCTGCCTGACCCTTTCTGGAAGCCTGTCGCAAGCTGGGAGCATTGGGAGCGTCCCTTCTGCAGCTCCTCTTCAGATCTTGCTGATAAAACACATCCCTCTATTTTATTGCATTTCCTAGAAGCTTGCAGGCTTGCAAGAGCGCTGTTGTCAGGAAACGTGATAGAAATGAAAGTCAGGACATAATGTCCCTGAACACCTCAGTCACACAAAACGACTGCCGAGGCCACCAAGTTATCGAATTCGCTTTCATCAACTGTCGACTCCCCATCCTCCCGCTCTCCAGCGGAGAGAGTCCCCCACAGAACCAAAACAACTCCGCAGTTTGACCTCACCCCATACCGCGGGACCATTGCGGCCAGAACGGAGCAATTTCTTAGCTGTGATGCTGCGGAGAAAGAGTGCTCCTCTGGCAGGAAACCCTGATGAGGGTTTCACTGCGGCAGCTCCAGCCTTATTAAAATTCCTTGTCCCTGTCCCTAAACAGTGCTTTGCACTTCCACGTTCTCCTTTGGATTTCTCGAGTTATTGGAGTTATTAGATTACCAATAATCCAACGGCTGGCAGGGATTGGGCGGGGGTTGGGGGAGGGACGGGTGGAGGACAGAGTTCTCCAAATCCCGAGACTGTCGAAACTGGGTCAATGGGAAGGAAGGAGGGGCGGGGCAGCAAGGGGGTTATTGGTTTCAAGCTTTGGTGGGAGGACTCCCTCTAGTGTTAAGTAGCGGTAAAACATGATTAGGTTTGAGCTCCCGGAATCACTGGACACCTAATTTCCAATAAGTGCATTTACTTAATTTTAACTTCACTTCCTGGATTCTCACCCCATACGATATTAAATTTCAGCCTTCGCTTTCACCATTATTCCACCGGGCGAAGGGATGAGAAAGCCTCCAAGTGGGATTTTATGAGGCTGAAGAGGCCCAATGTTTTTGAACGGACCTTAACACCGCCTCCTTCGCGAATGGGTTGCGTGGCTCAGTGTGTCGCCAACGCGTTTTTTAAGACCCATCTTTGGCCTTTAGAGCTGCGTCTTTCTCACCCCCAGTTCCCCAGAACCCGCCCCCGAAAGCGCCTCTAGGAGCCCGCTATTAGGAGATGGCGCCCAGGGGTTATAATTCCAAGGAAGGCCACGGGAAGGCAAGACAAATTGAGCGTGCCCCTGCGCGTGGTGGGGTCGCCGGCTCGGCCTCTGCTGAATCCAAACCATGTTTCTACAGGGTTTCGGAGAAATCGAATTTGGAAATCCCTAAATCTGGCCAGGTTTGGCCTGGCAGGTCCTATTCTAAAGACTTTTAGCGGAAACCCAGGCGGCTGGGTTCCCCTACTTGCCAACGTAGGCGGAAGGGGCTTTCGATTTAGTTTTTCTCTAGTTTTCCTCCAACTCGTCTAGGGTGCGCTGAACGGGAGACCCTGAGCCCCGGGGACTCCATATTTTAGACCTAAACGCCTCACCAGACCACCCTTTTAGAAGGGAGTTGGGGGCCAATCGAAAAAAAGATATGATGCCCCAAGCAAATAAACGCCGGAATTGGGCAAATGAGTCTCGGACTAGACCCGAAATCCTGGGTTTTAGACCTTGTTCTGCTACTGACTTGTCTGGGATTTAGGGGAAAGTGTGCCGTATTCCCCGCGAGCCTCCCAGGCCCCCCCCCGCCCCGCACTCCCCCTTCCTGGTGAATCCCCGGTGGCCTGCTCGGCGCAGGCAGCGATCCTGGCTGCCGTCGGGGGCCGGCAGCTTCCTGGAAAGTTACTTCTCGTTGGAGCCGGTGATAGGCAGAGTGTTCTGTGAAATCCGCTGAGCTGAGATCGACTACGTTCCGGGAATGAGAGGGCTGTGCCATTCCCCTTCCTGCCCCCTGCCTTGACGGCATAACAGGGGGAAGAAAAAAAAAAAAAAGGCACACTCACAATGTTAGTTACAGAGGTGCACGAAAAGTTTTATCTGAATGCAACCAAATTAAGGGCTGTCACGGCAGTACCACGGGGCCTCCGCAGAGCCTGCGGGGCCTTGGAGGTGGATGGGCAGGAGTGGCGGCACAACGCCCCCGGGTGGGCAGTCCCTGGCAGGCAGGTACTGTATAGTGGGGGTGAGTGAATCTGTGCCGGCTTGCTCCCGCGCTCCTGGCTCGGGTTTGTGCCGGTGTATGAGCGAGAGAAGGGGGCTGCCTAGTGCCCGCTGAGGGGAGGAGGGAGGAGAAGGATGGGATCATTGTACTGGCTAACTTTTGTTGGAACCTAGCTTCTGGCCTTCCTCTCATGTCCTCTCATGTCTCTCTGTCATTTTTTCTCTTCTCCTCTCTTCTCTCTTCTCTCCTCTCTCCTCTCTCTCTCCTCTCGCTGTGGAAGGGCCCTCTTTTTTCTTGTCCAGATCCTTTAAAAGTATCTGTCATTTTCCTCAAGTTGCCTACTTTTAAAACACCAAAGTAGAGAAAGTGTTCGGGTGGTGAGGGAAGGGAAGGGAAGGGGGCGGGGAAGAAGACAACCTTTAACTTTGTGGTTATTTAACTCTCCCTTGGTAGTTACCGTGGCTGGGGTGGGGTTGGGGTCAGGGGAGTCCAGGTCTGGGCCCTTGCATTTGTCAGTTTCTCCTTGACATCTCTGCTCTCTTGGTTATTTTTGTGGAATGAGTCTTGTGTGCTGCATTGGTGAGATGTCTGAAGCTAGCAGACAGGTTTGTCCAGGACTTGCTGGTGATTAGTTTTGAGATGTTGGGCAAGGCTTATCACTTGGAGCCTCAGTGTCCTTCCCAGTAAATCAGAGCTGTTATGAGGATCAAATACAATAATGGACTGGAAAGAACTAAGTGGTCTATAAAAAACCAACCGAATGCTAGTGGTGCCTTTGCACTTGCAGCATGTAGAGGGAAGCCTGTTGCCCACACCCACCATAACCCACATATTCACTATTTGTGGGCCTCCTGAGACGGAGCTATGTAGGAAGGAGTGGGACTTCATAATGACATGGACCTTAGTGTATGTGTGTTTGTTTTTGGCCAACCCAGGTAGAGGTTTAGGATAAAAAGTGCCCAGCCTAAAGCATGGCTGATAGTAGACCCAGGGGAATTGTTTTGTTTGTTTCGGTCTGAATCTGGAGTGAGTCATTGCCTAGTGTCAAGGTGAAATGGCAAATCTGGGCTTTCTGTGGTTCCAAAAGTGTGTGACTGGAAATCCACAGGCAAGCTGGTGGTTGAAGCTGGCTGAAGGACAACCTTAGGTATTCCAGAAGTGTTTAAGGATCTTTTCCATGAGGGGTGAGGAGAGGGTTTATAAATAAACCTCACATGTGCATTCAGCATTCTTTTTCAAAGGAGACAATCATTGAACTTTGGTGAGGACCAATTTACTGTGTCTCTTTTTGCCCATTTTGAGTTAGGATGGGGAGAGGAGGAAATAGGTTCTTTTGTCTTTTTCTGTCCTCTCCCTTCCCCCATTTTCTACCCCCCATTCCCACTCACTCACTTGCACACCTAACCTTGAAGCCGATGAGATTGAGTGACTGACACTTGGGACCACAGAGAAATGTCAGAGTTTTTGGTTACAGACTCAAGGAAACCTCTCATTTTAGAGTGCTCATTTGGTAAGACTCGGCAGCCTGGAATGGGAGCAAAGTGTTTGTGTGGGGGACAAACTTAAAAATGAGATTCACCCACATCAGGGTGCTTGCGTGTTTTACAGCACGTAGGCTGATTTGGAAAGGGATCAGGAATTTGAGTGAGAAGATCTAGGGCCCGGCTACTCACCAATCTCTGTGGCCTAACAGGACCTCCCTAGCCTGGGGCCCCTTTACCTGGAAAATAGCTGTAAGGCCTAGGCTTTTTTAAAAAAGTTGAGTCGGGGAGAGGGATGAGGTATTGCTTTGTTCTGTAGCCTGTATACAATCATAAATGAGAGTCTCCCAACACTCCTTTAAATTACTTTGTTTTAGAAAAACCAATTCAGATAAGGTACATATTTCACGAGAACTCAGTCCTGACCAGTTCTCAGCTAAACCACACAATTAAGTCTTTTACCAGCAGGGGGAAGCACACACTTGGAAGATTGTGACACTGTTATCTGGTCTTAGACCCAGGAGGAAAGGGAGAGAAAACTTTTAAACAGAAAGCAAAGATTCTTAAGAAAAGCATAGATATGCCATCTCAGGTTGTATTCCGTAGTGAGTCTTAAGTGTTTCAGAGTATCAGGAAGTACTGCCTGGCTGTTTGTCCTGGGCAAACCACTTGAACCCGTGTCTCAGTTTTGTCACCATTGAAATTGGGATAAAGATATTGACCTTATTGGCCCCGTGGAATCATTCCTAAGACTTGAAAGATAATATTTCAGCAGGTTTTGAAAAAGCATACGAATTTTTCAGACCCCTGAAGGATTATCCCCAATACTGAACTTTTTCTTTCTTTAAATTTTTCCCATAAATTCAATGGCTTTAGGGTGATATACATTTTTTACATTGAGAAAGGAAACATACGTGTATACATATATGTAACTTATGTATGTAACATATGCCCATAACTCAGGGTATAAACATTATCGTGCGGCTTCGGGTGCCTGTTGTTTTTGTAAGAGCAGAGCTGGAAAATGTTTGCTAGCTTATGGTAAAACCGCACCAGCTGGCGGGCTGCAGCTATCAAAGTAAAACTAAACACGTGTGTCCTAAAATAAGACTATAGTGGACAATCTTACATTCATTAAATCAATTTCTGTTTGCTTTTTTCTCTTCCCTTTAGGTTGTAAGCAAAATTTTGGACTGTGAATCGAGGCATTGGGTAAGTAAATTGAATTATTTGCCTTCAAATTTTGTGGAAAACCTATTTCTCTTGAATTTTCCAATGCATATGCGTCTGTGAACTTTTCTTTATGTGAGGGAAAGGATAGCCGATCCCCTCTCCATGACTCCCAGCCCTCCTTCTTTACTCCTGCATTAGACTATCTTAACATTGTTGTGTGATCATTCATTCCCGTACTTATTTCTTAGTTCAAATTAATTTAGCCACCTCCTATACCCAAGCACTGTGCAGGAGTTTGATGTACATTGAGATAATTCTAAAATCTCATAGGGGAGAAATGAGATACTGATGAGAATAGCCACAATTTTTGAGAACCTAGACCGTACATCAGGCACTTATCTCTAATTTTTACAACCACATAGTTGTTACTGCTATCACTTTGGGAAACCAAAGCCCAGAAGCATTGAGCAATCTGCTCCAAGCCACACAGTATAAAAAGGTAAAGCTAGCATGCTGACATTCAAAGCCTGGTGTCACTCCCTGCCTCTTAATGCTGGCACAGAACTTGGTATATGGGAAAAATACTCAACAATATTTCACTCCCTTCCCCATTTCCGTAAAGGGCTTTCTATTCGGACTTATTGGGTAAAAATGATCCTCCCCATTTTATAGATGTGAACAGTAGTACCCAGAGGTGGGCCATGAATTGTTTAAAGACCACACACAAGGGGCCTCAGTTTGCATTCCATATGTTAGCAGGTGGAACAAGCTGTATTTTATGCTCCTGGTCAGCAGAAAACAGATTTCAGAGAACTAACAGGATTTCGACCTTCTTTTGCAGGTGAAGACAAAATGGCCTCACCAGCTGACAGCTGTATCCAGTTCACCCGCCATGCCAGTGATGTTCTTCTCAACCTTAATCGCCTCCGAAGCCGCGATATCTTGACTGATGTTGTCATAGTGGTGAGCCGTGAGCAGTTTAGAGCCCATAAGACAGTCCTCATGGCCTGCAGGTGAGGGTCCAGAAGGGAAAGGTAGATGAATACAAGGGGAGTGATGGTGCTGGCGGTGCTGGCAGTGAGCAAGATGGAATATGTGGGCCTTCTGCTGTGTTCTGGATCATGTCTCATTAGTGTCCAGATCTCCAGCTCATGGCCTGGCAGAGTAGGTGCCCAGGAATGGAATGAATGCACACACCTTTGGAGAAGAAAGAGTTTCTGTTCTTTGGGAACAGAGGGAGAAGAAATCAGATACTGTCTCAAGAAAGGATGTGTTTGGGGCAAACATGGAGTATAACTTCAGTTTACATGTTGAAAAAATGAAGGATGAAAGAGATTTTTAAAGTATACTAAGTGAATTAATTGGAAATCACTTGTTCTTTTATTCCATAACTGTATTTGTTTTTATACTATGGCTATATTTCCATTGGATTTTATACTATGGCTATATTTCCATTGGTAAGTTAGTGAAAGTGAACCAGCTACTTCTTCATATTCGTCAAGGATTTCATGTGTTCAGAGCAATTTTATATTCCATCATCTCCCTGGATCTTCACAGTGGCCTGTGTTATGGATGGCATGATTGTCTCCATTTTATAGATGATAAAACTCATAGTGAACTGATGTAGAGTCAAGTATCTTGATTGCTAGTAGAGAACTTATTCAACATCTGCAACAAGCACCTGTTTTGTTTTGTTTTGTTTTATAGTGGAGAGAACAGGTTAATGGAGATACGGCAATTATAGTTAATGGTAACTACATGCTTACTATGGGACAGGCATCATTCTGTACCCTTTACATGTTTATTCTTGTCACAGCCCTATAAGGTAGACATTGTTGTCCCTGCTTCACAGATAAGGAACATGAGGTGCAGAGTAGTTAAGTATCTCACCCAAAGTTGCATTGCTTTTAGTGGTTGAAGTGGAGCAGAATTGAGATGGCATCCTACAAGTCTGGCTTTGTACTGAGTGCTCTGTTAGACAACATGGTATCCGGAGGCATAGCTTGAAGTTGGATTTGGATCTTCTAGGAATATTGACTTTATGATAATCTATGGGCTTTTAGAAAAAAAATCAGTAGAATGTAGATGTAGACATTATTTTACTTATTTGTCACCATTATCCAACTTTACTTTTTTAATATAGTTTTTTTAAAAAAATATAAGAGTTTTCAAATAAGAATAAAGTGGTGGAACAAGGGGAAACCTTATCCCAAAGATATAGACAAAAATAGTTAATGCAAATAAGTGTTAAATTTAACTCTGGTCATCTGCGCCATTAACACTAAAACAAAAACAGGTTCTAAGACTTTGAGAGAATCACTTAACCTCTCTGATCTTAGTCCTCCCATTTGTAAAGGGGGTGAATGATAATATATACCTGGCAAAGATGTGGGGAACACAAGATAATATTTGAAAAGTGCATAATGACTCACTGGCATTTAGTGAGCACTTCATAAATGGCACTATTACTATAATTGCCATGGAAGTTGTGGAGCCCGGGCCTGGAGGGAGGGGCTGCATGTGATGCTTACCATAATTGGTGACAGAGTCTATATATCTGCTATAGTGAGACATTTGTTTGTTTTACAGTGGCTTGTTCTACAGCATCTTCACAGACCAATTGAAATGCAACCTTAGTGTGATTAATCTCGATCCCGAGATCAACCCTGAGGGGTTCTGCATCCTCCTGGACTTCATGTACACATCTCGGCTCAATCTACGGGAGGGCAACATTATGGCCGTGATGGCCACAGCTATGTACCTGCAGATGGAGCATGTCGTGGACACTTGCCGGAAGTTTATCAAGGCCAGGTGAGCTGCCACCTGATGGAAGCCTTGGCGATGAAAGGGATCAGAAGGGATCAGAAACCCTTGATAATGTGTACATTTAGGGAAAAAAAAAATTGTTTATAATGTGCCACAACCTACATTTCCACTATCTTTGCACACTCCTGCCCTTAGAGACTCCTGTGCTCCAGGCCAACTTGACTCCTTACTGCTGTCCCGATTTGTCTTGTACATCCTCACCTCTTGGCTTTCCCCCATTCACTTGATAATGCCCTTTTCTCCCACCCGTCCTGCAAGGTCAAGCTTGGATGTTAGCTCCTCGGTAGATGTTGCTATGATTATCGCTCAGCTTTTTCTTCAGTTCCTCCTCTGTGTTCCAAAGCCTTTTGCCTGTCCTTTAGAAGTTCCTGCTGTTTTAGCTAACTCCCTATCCAAGGGCTGGAAAGACATGACCATTATTTAAAGGTGAGGAATTTGAGAGCCAAAGAAGCAAGGAGCTTTGTTTAGAACCATTTGGTTCATTGCTCTTGGGGTCATTGCAACCTGTCTTAAACAGAAGGGTTTCCAGCCTCTGTTTAAACCCCTCCAGGAGCCAGGAACTTAGTGCTCCCAGAGCCACACACAGTCCACCTTGGACAGCCAGAAAGCTCCTCTTTAGGGCGAGTTGAAGTGGCCTCCTTAAGCTTTACTCATTGGTTCTAGCTGTTTCCTGTGATCGTGTTTGAGGTGGCCTATTTTTCGCCCACATAGTGTTTCTTCAGATACATGCAGCTAGAGCTCTTTGTCTCCTATGGGTGAAAATGGTGGCAAGACCATCACTGCCATTGTCTGTGAGCACTTTCTCTAGGTCAGGCCCTGTGCTTGGAGTGGTTCAGTAACTTGTTCCAGGTCACACTGCTGTTAAGTGGCTCAGCTGGGATTGGAAACCAGGTCTGGCTGCTTCAGCGTCCGGGCTTCCTGCACAAGCAATGCTGCCTGTTCTCCAAAGTACACTTCCCTGCGACTTGAGTCCTTTCTTCGACAGGGCGCCAGTCTGTCTCTGACCCTCTGCACACGTAGCACCAGAATTGTATTTCTTCCCGCCCTGAGCTTCAGTTTCCCTGTGTATACAATGGAGGCAGGAACACCTGCCTTCCCTTCCTTGCAGGATTTTGCATGGGTGACATGAGACAAGGGCTCTGAAAGATTTACGTCCTTTAATAATCTGAGGAATTAGAGTCACCTACCTACATACATATGTGACTTAAACATACAAGGTGGTGTGTAAACAGGTCTAGATTGTATGGGAAACTCTCTTCTCTTCTCTGGGCCTTATTTCCCCAACTGGGGGCTAGATTGCTAGACTTCAAGCGTAAATGCCTTGTGACTGCATATATTTCCCTACTCCAGAGCACAGCTCCTGTGTCTAGCTGACCCAAGCACAACTGTGGTTACATAGACCAGTGTCACTTGGAAGGTCATCTGTGTAGTAGTTCTCACTTGGAGGCCGGTTTATTCTCTTTTTCTTCTGCAGTGAAGCAGAAATGGTCCCTGCCATCAAGCCTCCCCGTGAAGAGTTCCTGAACAGCCGGATGCTGATGCCCCAAGACATCATGGCCTATCGGGGTCGTGAGGTGGTGGAAAACAACCTGCCGTTGAGGAACGCCCCCGGGTGTGAGAGCAGAGCCTTTGCTCCCAGCCTATACAGTGGCCTGTCCACACCGCCAGCCTCTTACCCTGTGTACAGCCACCTCCCTGTCAGCAGCTTCCTCTTCTCCGATGAGGAACTGCGGGATGCCCGGATGCCTGTGGCCAACCCCTTCCCCAAGGAGCGGGCCCTCCCCTGCGATAGTGCCAGGCCAGTCCCAGGGGAGTACAGCCGGCTGGCCATGGAGACATCCCCCAGTGTGTGCCACAGCAACATCTACTCACCCAAGGAGGCAGCCCCAGAGGAAGCACGGAGTGACATGCACTACAGTGTGGCCGAGGGCCCCAAGCCGGCAGCGCCCTCGGCCCGAAACGCCCCATATTTCCCCTGTGACAAGGCTGGCAAGGAGGAAGAGAGACCTTCCTCAGAGGATGAGATTGCCCTGCACTTCGAGCCCCCCAATGCCCCCCTAAACCGGAAGGGTCTGGTTAGTCCACAGAGCCCCCAGAAGTCTGACTGCCAGCCCAACTCGCCCACGGAGTCCTGTAGCAGCAAGAATGCCTGCATCCTTCAGACCTCTGGCTCCCCTCCAGCCAAGAGCCCCACTGACCCCAAAGCCTGCAACTGGAAGAAATACAAGTTTATTGTGCTCAACAGCCTCAACCAGAATGCCAAACCAGAGGGCCACGAGCAGGCCGAACTGGGCCGCCTTTCCCCTCGAGCCTACACTGCCCCGCCGGCCTGCCAGCCGCCCATGGAGCCTGAGAACCTTGACCTCCAGTCCCCAACTAAGCTCAGTGCCAGCGGGGAAGACTCCACCATCCCACAAGCCAGCCGGCTCAATAACATTGTCAACAGGTGATTTCACAGGCAGTCCCGGCCTGGGCTCAGGGGTCACCTGGCAGGGTTCCAGGCTCACTTCTGATGGGTGCAGGGGCTGTGTTATTGTCTTGCCTGAAATGCTGAGCATATCTGAGGTGTGGGATAAGTGTCTAATGACTGAATTAGCCTAACTAAGGGAGTATATTAAGCATCAGTATGTTTTTTTCATAGCAAGTGAGAGAATTCCCTTCTATGGTAGAAGGGCATGGTCTTGGTGTGGCAGGGGACACTCATTCTCGCTTTGGCCTGAGGGAGGCTGCAGACTGCAGTACTGAGGGCAAGGAACTTAGCCTGGGGATGGGGACCAGGGGAGGGCTCCACTCTGCTCCAGTTCCAGCTGCTAAGATCCTTTACTTCCGCCCACAGGTCCCTGACAGGCTCCCCCCGGAGCAGCAGCAGCGAGAGCCACTCGCCGCTCTACCTGCATCCCCCCAAGTGCACGTCCTGCGGCTCTCAGTCCCCACAGCACTCAGAGATGTGCCTCCATACTGCTGGCCCCACGTTCCCTGAGGAGATGGGAGAGACCCAGTCTGAGTACTCAGATTCCAGCTGTGGTGAGTCCCTTCCCCTCCTCCCCTGGCCAGGCGGAAGGCTGGCCCCTGCCTCTCCTCTGCAGGGTTTGTCTTCCATTTTACTTATACTGTTGTCACTGATTGAGGGAAACTCCTAAATGGAAGTTCATCGGCACCAGCTGATTGCCCCACTCTTGACATCTTAGGGAACTAGGCTGACCAGAGCAGGAGATGGGGTGTTAGAGTTAATCTGGGGTAACTGAGAATGAGCAAACACACTTTTCAGCATCATTCCAGAAGAGGTAGCATGTGGGCTTGCTCTAACTCCCAGACCTTTCTCAGCCCCTCTGGACCCAAACTTAAGGTGCAGGACCTATGCACATGTTAGTGCACCTGCTAGGTTGTCCACCCTATAAGGGGAAGCATCTGAATTGATTGATTCCTACATCTCCTATAAGTCCTAGTGAGTCTGTAGAACAGAGTGGGTATTCAGTGAATGTTAGTTGAATTAGACTAGATAAAATGAATTATTAAATTGAAATTTCTGGGTGGTCTGTGTTTGACATCCCCAGTTTTTACCAAACAAAAAAGTCTATGTCTTCTTGCATCTCTAGCTGCAGTAATAGAGCCCAGTAATATCAAATTAGGGGTGAGCCACCATGAGGCATCATTTTCAAATTGTTATAACAATGGGAAAAAAATAGTGACGCTGAGCGGTTTGGCACAGGGTTGTGGACCTGTAGTTGAGAGAGCAGGGACTGTCCCTGCCTGTCCCCCTGGCCATTTGCCTTTGGCCTGCACTCTACTTCCTTCTCTCTGAGGCTCTGTTTCTACTTCCACCGTCATCTGTGTTCTCCCAGTCTCACAGAAGTGCTTGGGAGACATGAAGTGCAGATCAGTGCACGGGTAACCATGTTTGTCATTAATCTTCCCAGTGACTTCAAAGTATCATTGAATTTGATTTATATCTTACATTCTTGTGATGCTTTGTGTCTTATCATGTGCTCCTATGAAGTAAGTAGAACAGGGGTTTATTATCCTGATTTTGGAGATAGAGACGCAGACAGAGGATCAGGGACTTAAAAGGTCTTGCTGAGGGCATATGAATGCAAGTGGAAGTATGAACTGATAGGAAAGTAGTTCTCAGTGCTCTCCAGCAAAGGAAGAGCCCTGCCGAGCTTTCCTCAGGCTGGTGCTGACCGTAAGGGAACCTGCTGGTTTGAGCTTCCCTTCTGTACCTTAACATTCAAATCTGTCTCCTTTCTCCTTTGTGACTGAGACTGTAAATGCTAAGAAAAATAAAATTCCCACAGGTCCCTTGCTCGGGGCCGCCATGTATGTTGGGTGGGCAGGGGCACTGGGGGTAGATATAGAGGTGAGGGGGCCTTGGAGCCCCATCTCCCTTCCTCATGCTGATGTTGGTGTCCCCTCCCACCCTCTGACAGAGAATGGGGCGTTCTTCTGCAATGAGTGTGACTGCCGCTTCTCTGAGGAGGCCTCCCTCAAGAGGCACACGCTGCAGACCCACAGTGACAAACCCTACAAGTGTGACCGCTGCCAGGCCTCCTTCCGCTACAAGGGCAACCTCGCCAGCCACAAGACCGTCCATACGGGTATGGCCCTGCCCCACCCCACCTGAGCTTGCCAAGGTTACTGGGGTCAGGAAAGGGAGAGGACTCCAAAGAAAGCAGTCTAGGGGCTTGGTACCTGGTCGGGGAGGCCGAGAGCAGGCCCCGTCCTGGCCCGAATGAGGTCCCTAGCCCTGCCGCGGCGTCTTTGCATAGTGACTTGTCCACTTCCTGTATCCTTTGTCTTTCCTCTGAGTTGCTCTGTCCTGCTTCTCTACTCTTGCTGGAGTCAGAAATGCTAATCCCATTTTCAAGGGGGAGAAACTAAGGCTGAGAGATGCAAAGTAGATTTGGTTTGGATAAAGCGACAAAGAAAAAAACTAAAGGCCTTTTGATTTCCTCTAAGGGCTTATTCCTTATCAACTCACATTCCTTTACCAGGTAGCTTCTAATAACCTGATTGTTGTCCAGAGTTGACTCTCTTTTGGTATTTTAAGTGGCTCCTTTATCCCAGAAACTTTCCATGAAGGAAGGCACTGGCCTTCTGTTGGTTTCCTCTGTCTGAGCATCTATTCCAACTCAGGCCCCACCTCTCAGCAAATGGAATCCAGCTGTGTAGTTGCCGCAAGTGGAAAAGTATGTTTGTTCTCAAAGAGAGAAATTAGAGTAGCCCGATTGTATCTTCCTGCTCAGTGGGTTGACTATTGAATGAGTCTTATCCAAGCAAAAAGCTAGAAGAGCTTTCCCAGTTCATCTAAATTTGCCCCTCAGGTTCCAGAGAGGGAAACTGAGGCCCAGAGAAGGAGAGTGACTCTTCCAAGTCCCACTGTTAGATAACCTGAATGGCAAACCTGGTACCAAGGCTTCCCGGAACCTCGCTCTGACCCTTTCCACACCCAGCGTTGTCTCTACTCCTCTGTGCTTCTTGACTTTGGTCAAGGGGCGCTGGCTACCTATAGGGGGTGGTAGGCAGGCCCGGAGGCAGGTGCCCAGATCCTCTCTTTGACATCTTCCAAGGGACAGAAAGTCGAAACCCAGCTTGCTTTGAAATCCAGGGGCCAGGGACTGTGGCTCCCTCCACTGAATGTAGCTATCCTTTTTCCCTTTCTCTCGGTAATAGGTGAGAAACCCTATCGTTGTAACATCTGTGGGGCCCAGTTCAACCGGCCGGCGAACCTGAAAACCCACACTCGAATTCACTCTGGAGAGAAGCCCTACAAATGCGAAACCTGCGGAGCCAGATTTGTACAGGTGACCAGGGGGCTTGGGGAAAAACCCCTCAACCTCTGCACACAGCTGCTGAGAGAAGTACAGCTCACCCTGACAGGGCCACTCATGCTTTGCTCTTCTATCCAGGTGGCCCACCTCCGTGCCCATGTGCTCATCCACACTGGCGAGAAGCCCTATCCGTGTGAAATCTGTGGCACCCGTTTCCGGCACCTTCAGACTCTAAAGAGCCACCTGCGAATCCACACGGGAGAGAAACCCTACCATGTAAGGGAGCCTCTGTGGCTACTGGCTGACCTGGGAGGAACAGGGAGGTGGAGGGGTGGGGCAGCAGAACTGTTTGCTCCGGTCTCAAGCACACAGTGGAATGATCACTGAACTGGTGATCGTAGACCTGGATTCAGGCCTGAGTCCCGAAGACACCCTGCTTGAGCTGGGCCTGGGTCTCAGTTTGCTCATCTTTAAAGTCAGGCTATTGGGCTACCTGATCTGGGCCTTAGGGAAGAGGTCTGGACTATGGACACACAGACAGTGGAGTCATTCATTTATTCTACAAATGCTTATTGGGTACTTACTCCTCTGTACTGGCCTCGATATCTTCTTAAGAGGAGCTAAAAGGTTTGAGAAGGCGCAGCCATAGGAGTATTAGGAGACACTGGTGATATAAAGTAAAGCAGAGAAAAGGCCATTTCAAGAAGGAGCAGAGGGCCTGCATCCAGAAGCCAGGATCGCTCCTCAGAATCATGGTATTCCAGAGCAGGGACTTGGCAAACTATGGCTTGTGGGCTAATTCTTTAACATTCTGTGAGCTAACAATGTTTTTTTATATATTCAAGTGTCTAAAAAAAAAAAAAAAAACCCAAAAGAATAATATTTTGTGATATGTGCAAATAATATAAAATTTAAATTTCAAAATCCATAAAGTTTTATTGGAACACAGCCATGCTTACTTATTTACATCTTGTCTGTGGTTGCTTTCATATCACAACAGTAGAGCTGAGTAGTTGTGTCAGAAAATGTAGTAAAATAGCCCACAAAGCCTAAAATATATACCATCTAGGTCTTTACAGAAAGAGTTTGGGGATCTCTGCTGTAGAGGCAAAGATACTGCCCGGGAGACAGAGATATCTGGGTTCTTCCTCTGACCTTGGGCAAGCCCTGAGGATGCTGCCAATGAGCCGTTTTCAAAGTGCACTTTCAGTCACTGAGGTTCTGTGGCCCCGCAGGGCAGGCCTGAGACTGCAACCTCTCCCTCCTTTCCAGTTTCCATTTAATTTGAAAAGAAGGTCCCCGGCTTACAAGTGCAGAAACCACTGGTATGGATGATGCTGACTTTGATGAGTTTATGGCATCACTGTAGGTAGTGATAAGCACAAGAACAAACCAATGAATGGTTAACCCATATCACAAACGTTAACCGCAAAATGTGGTCGTTTTCATTGGCTTGTTTATCAGTCCTTGAGTAACCATCTTCTTACTTGCTGTATGTTCTTGGGCAACATCAGTCATCAATCCTCTCAGTACCTAAATTTCCTCAGCTGTAAAATGAGCCCATAATAGGACCTACCACACAGTGTTATTGTATCAACTTAATGAATTTGCTAAAGTGTGCGCAGTGGTACTTCGCATATAATAAGAGGACAATAAATATTGCTATTATAATTATTCACTAGAAGGTTAGATGCACAGGATGTCTGGTTAAGAGTGACCTACAGAGTGTATTGATTCAGTCCCTCAGGGAGGGAGAGCCAGGGCCCAGGGAGAGAAATGACCTGCTCAGGACACGCAGCAGAGGGTGGCACGGAGGGGCCCCGTTTCTCCTGAGACCGTGGCTCTTTCTACACACTGTCCCACCCGTTCTGTTTTTTATTTCTCAAAATTTATTTGTTTTTACTTTAAAACCTATTCTCTCTATGAACATATCTTTTATATCCCTTTTATCTGAGAATAGTTTTAAATTTATAGAACAGTTGTAAATGGGGTACTGAGTTCCCGCATGCACCCAGTTTCCCCTGTTGTTAACATTTTACATTAGTAATATACATTTGTCACAACTAATGAACCCATACCAATGCGTTATTATAAAGTCCATACTTTATTTGGATTTTCCTACTTCTTACCTAAATTGTCCTTTTTCTATTCTAGAATTGCATCCCGTTTACCCCCTTAAGTCATTCATTTCACTCTTAAGTAACTTTTCCACTAAAACTGTTAACATTTGTTCAATCAAAGCAAGAAGCAGCTCTATTTGGTTATGCCTTATTAGCTTACCTAAAGTGTACACACTAAGAAAGAATAGAGCTGCATTTTTTAAGGTGTGTCTTAGATTCAATCATTTTCATGAATTCAGACATTTTGCAGTCCATTTGTCCAAATGTGTTTAGATTTAGTGCGTAATTGCCTAAGAGGTATATTCTAGTAGATACCAGGAAGATTATAAAGTTGAGTGAGGAGTGGTCACTGCCCTCCAGGTATTCCCCACCTGATAAGGCAAGGCTAGAAGTCTTAACAGAGGTTCAAAGGAAAGAGGGATTCTTTTCAGTCTAGAGAGATTCGGGGAAGCCTTAATAATTAGGAGAGTTTGCATCTGAGCTGCATTTTTGCCTAAGACTTGAAACTTGTGGAATGCATTAAGTCAGGGAAGTACAGCTCAAGCAGGAGAAAAATATGAGCAACACTTTGGAAAACGGGGAAGGGACATTTGCATAAAGCTTACTGGTCCCTAAACAGAAGCCAGGATGCAGATGGGTTCTTAACCCAGCAGGCCATCAGAAAGGAAGAGCTGCCTGATTGCTCCCAGGGAGAAGTGCCTTCTCTGGGCCTGACTTGTTTCTTGGGTCGATGACAGCTAACAGTTTACCTCTGGTTTTCCTTCAGTGTGAGAAGTGTAACCTGCATTTCCGCCACAAAAGCCAGCTGCGTCTTCACTTGCGCCAGAAGCACGGAGCAATCACCAACACCAAGGTGCAATACCGCGTGTCTGCCACTGACCTGCCCCCGGAGCTCCCCAAAGCCTGCTGAAGCATGGAGTGTTGATGCTGTCCATCCGAGCCCCTTCTCAAAACCTACCCAAAGGATACTGTAACACTTTACAATGTTCATCCCATGATGTAGTGCCTCTTTCATCCACTAGTGCAAATCATAGCTGGGGGCGGGGTGGGGGGAGGGGCGTGGGGACCGGGAGCCTCGGCAGCTCCCCTTCCCCCACTGCCATCAAACATTAAGAAAATAATATTGCTTCTCCTATGTGTAAGGCGAACCATGTCAGCAAAAAGCAGAGTCATTTTGTATATCAAAGTTGGGGGAGTATGCAAAAGTTCTGACTTGACTCAGTCTGCAAAATGAGGAATGTGTATGTTTTGTGGGAACAGATGTTTCTTTTGTATGTAAATGTGCTTTCTTTTAAAAGAGACATAGGTATGCTATCAAACAGAGGGCTTTAATTTTTTTAACCAAAGGTGAAGGAATATATGGCAGAGTTGTAAATATATAAATATATATATATAAAATAAATATATATAAACCTAAAAAAGATATATTAAAAATATAAAATTGTGTTAAAGGCTCGATTTTGTATCTGCAGGCAGACACGGATCTGAGAATCTTTATTGAGAAAGAGCACTTAAGAGAATATTTTAAGTATTGCATCTGTATAAGTAAGAAAATATTTTGTCTAAAATGCCTCCGTGTATTTGTATTTTTTTGCAAGTGAAGGTTTACAATTTACAGTAAAGTGTGTATTTAAAAAAAGAACAAAAAAAGCTGCAGAAGGAAAAATGTGTAGTTTTGTTCTAGTTTCCAGTTTGTATATACCTATACAATGTGTCCTACGGTGCCTTTTTCATGGAAGTTTTCAACGATGGACAAGCGCGCCATCCCTTTCTGAAGTGTAGGCAGACACAGGGACTTGAAGTTGTCACTAACTAAGCTCTCTTTCGGAATGTTTGTCTCATCCATCACATTCTGCGTCATGCTTGTGTTATAACTACTCCGGAGACAGGGTTTGGCTGTGTCTAAACTGCATTAATGTGTTGTAAAATATAGCTGTACAAATACAAGAATAAAATATTGAAAAGTCAAGTCAGCTTGTCCCAGGGGTCTTTCCTTGTGTTGGAATCGGGACTGAATGGACCTGGTTTCCTCTGCTCTTAACCTTGTGGAAAGTGCTCGCAGAGGGTGGCAGCTGCTGGCTAGGGGAGTCTTGGAAAGGCCAAGGCTCCTGATAACTAGGCAGAGACCCATCTTTGGCTCCCAGCACCAAGCTGGACCGCAGGCCCCAGACCCTCCTCATGAAACATTTTGGTAGGGATTTTGGATGGATCTCTCACCCCTATATCTGGCTAGTTACCTCCGCTTTCTCTGCCCCCATCCCCACGCCCACACTCAGAGGTCTAGGCTGAACCATTAATGACTTCAGTTCTAGCCCTTCTGACCCAGTGTGTGGGTCCTTTCTGCCTCGGGGCTTTGGAGAATTTGCCCATTTCAGGACATGAGAAGGTTGGTCTTGCCTCCTGGCTTCGTAAACAATTTGTCTCTGTTTGGGTCCCGGGAGAAGGTATGAAGGCCTCCGGCCCCAGGCATACATTTCTCAGTCTTGGTGTCTTTTTGGTATCTGCTGAGTGGTTGACAAACATCTGTAGACTGGGAAGCTTTTTCCAGTGTGACTGGGGACAGTCATTATCCTCTGGGTCCCTTTCCCAACCCAGCCATGAGGGGACTGGATTTTCTAGATCACCTATGATTCCAACATTCAGACATAAATTCGACCTAGCTTACTTTGGCACCTAGTTTTATTTTACCTCAAAAAACCCCAAGGATCGAGTTTGATCGGTGGGACCTAAGAACAGTGAGGACAAGTGTGGTCCTGGCCCCTGGCCCAGAAGAGGACATCCATACACCGCCCTCCTTCCCTTTTCTACCTGGCGGCAGGGCATGGGCCTGAAGCAGAGCCTCTCTGAGCCCCTTGGGCCACTGGTAGGAGGGTGATGTCCCTTGGCAGTGCCTTTGCCATGGACTCTGTGCACGTGCTGGGAAGCTTACGGGAGCTGACTACCCAAAGCCCCAGAGAGGGCTTCAGAAAGTCACACCACCCTCTGCCAGCCGCATGGCCTTCCAGCTCAGGTTTCCTTTGAAAATGACTTTAAAGGACTTGCCAGCTAGAGGCCTCAGCTCACCCTGCTCTTTGAAAAAGGAGAAAATGATCCCTCTGCTCCCATAGAAACTTGGCAAAAGAACTTAAAAAACAGACAGCTTCAGGAATGACAATTCATAGGCCTCGAGGGAGGCTGGCCCCAGGGCCCCTTGGCTCCCTGAGGGCCTCCGAGTTTGTTTACATATCATTGCTGTTTAATAAAGAGACTAGGGGGCAGACAGTGTGGGTGGCTTCAAGTTCAAACAGAAGCGAAGATCAAAGAGTGAGCAACTGTAGCCAATTGACAATCAATAACAAGTAAAAAGCAAACATCTCTAAACAGATAAGCTAGGGCAAAGGGAATATAAAATTTTTATTACAAAAGCTTGACGTGAATGCAACTTTTCACAAATACATAACTTTCAAAAAACAGGGTGCTTGAGGTTCCTCTCTATGTTGTGGGATTTTTAAGGGGAAGTTTTCTCAGGACCAGGGCAGAGGTTGGAGGGTAGACCCGCAGAAGTGAGGTGGTTAGAATCAGGCAGAGCTGCTTAGAAGCTGGAAGGCATGGGGGATAAGGATCACCTAGTCCAAATCTGTCATCTATCCAAGAAAGGACACACGAAGGAGGCAGGAAGCAGGCAAGAACCTGCCCAGGGTCACTCACAGCGTTGGGGCAGAGAGTGGAGGGCGGGCTCTCTCCTCACCCCAATCTGAGAAAAGGAAGAACAGATACAAATGTTCCCACGTTAGAAATAAGGAAACCGAGGCAAGGGCACAGCCAAACAGTGGCCGATTAGCCTGAGCTCACACACGTGGTCATCGGTAAAGCCTCAATCATTTTCTCAAGGTAAATGAGCGAGCTCTCTGCGTCGCCCTTAGTAATACTTGTATTGAGCAGTGGGAATAACATCTAGCACTTGTGAGCTGCTTCTGATTTCCAAACCACTTTTCTATCGATGGTCCCATTCAATTCTCACAGCCACCCCTCAGAGCAGATGTTGCAGGGGGTGGAAACCACACACCCACCTCAGAAACTCCGGCGGTGCCCCAAGAGTTACAATTGGATCGGGGGCCCATAAAAGCATGTGAAACTGCACCTGCCCACAGAAACTGTCCTACAAGAAACTGCTTTGTCCTCAGCCTCTGCTGGAATCAGAACTCGGGCAGCCATCGTCCATATCATGCGACCCACTGCCCTGAACACTGATTTGTCTCAGGATGGACCCTGGATCCAAGGCCAACCAGTCACTCGCAGGTGTGTGGCCTTGTATTTATTTTTTTGTTTCTTTAAAAAAATTTTTTCTTTTATTGTTGTTCAATTACAGTTGTCCTCATCTTCCCTCATTACTCTCCTCTGTGCTGCCCACAACGCCCCCAACACTCAGTCCTCCAGGTCTGTGGCCTTTTATGTGTGCCATGCAAAGTGCTGCCTAAATAGGGGGTGCTAATGAGTTGGGCTACCAGTATGATGTGTACTGGGAATTTGTAGTGAAATATGGAAACAACCAGCCAATCCAGCGTTTCTCCTTTGTGAACCACCTTCATGATTTTGCGATAGCATCATACCTCGAATATTTATGTACTACTTTTCCTTCAATCAACTCATGTTTTACCTATATTTTCCCCAAGTATGAATTAAAGTAAATGGCATTCAAAATAAAAGTGTTCATTCATGCGCCTTCTAGAATTTGTTTTGTGTTCTGCCAGAGGCATTTTGGGGAAACACAAAGAGAATTAGAATAAGGGAGAGGAGCTGAAGAGAGCCACCCCCTGGCGAGAGCTGGGTTGTGTTAATGGCAGGACACTGCAGGGAGGTCCCCAGAGGAGGGACCTTGGAATAAGAATGACCTTCCAGTGTTGAGTTCCAGGAAGCTTTTCCTTGGCTTGGGATTCTGGTCTTAGCTTTCTAGAAGATTCTAGCCCTCTTATAACCAGTTCATGATAATCTCTTTGTCTCTCCTCCTACACCTCCCACCATAGTTGGTTTGGTCTGTGCGAGTCTGTTTCCTGGAACTAAAGAATGCAGTTTACACAGGTGCCCAGGTCCCTGAGGAGTCTGCCATTGGGAAGACCCTCATGTACTCTTAAATGGGCTCTAGGCTCCTCAGTAGTGGAGGCTGAGGCATGCTATGATCCCTCTGAGATGAGACACAAGAAATGGTCTACCCAAAATACAGTAACCACCTGGAAAGACAATGCTCCTCCAAGCCCCAGATCAATTGCAGGCAGCTGGTAAGAGGCGGGCGGGGCCCAGCCCTGTGTGGGCACAAGGCGATGCAGTGCCCAGGGCCACACCCCTCAGGGAAGGAGAAACAAGCCTCCGCGATTCCTAAGGAAGTGGCCTTCTAGAAAGACAGGCACTGAGCAGGAGGGCCTTGGAGTCTAGGAAGGGGACTCAGGGATCTTGGAGCCCCTGAACTACTCTATCACCCCTAAATCCTGGGGTTAGCCTCTTATTAAATGAGTCTGATTCATTCAACAGCAATGACTGGCCTCTCAGCACATTTAATAGATGCATTCTCTGGGTCTCTCCCTGCTTTTGGCATATCGAGCAGGCAGCCTGGTTAAATAACAAACAGGCCTAGAATCAGCATCACGGAATATCATGCCCGGGGATGTTGGGCGGGTGGGGGGGGGGGCGGTGACGGGAGGAGGGTGTGCCTTAGCAATGATGATTCTATTTTCCAAGGGAAGAAACCAGACTAGAGCGAAAAGGGGACATGCTTAAAGAGTCCTACCAAAAAAAATTTTTTTTGAAGAGGTCTCCTGGCTCCCAGGTTGGCTTGTAACATCGTCCCAGCCTTCAAGGAGTGAGCAGTCAAGTTGGGGAAAACAAACATGGACAAATATAGAAGGAAAATCACAAAGAAACGCAGAGAGTTATAACATTACAGCTAACAACAGACATTCCTGAGGATTCAGGGGCTTTGGGAGGGGGCGCTCCAAAGAGCAGGGTTTTCTTCCAAGGCAGCACAAGGCAGAAGCACCCTCAAGCCTTTCTGGCACCTCCTCTCCCTCCTGTGGAACTGCAGTGCCGCCTTCTGTCGAGACACTGCTGTACTCCTTGCTGTCACCGGTAGGAGCCATCTCTCTGGAGGCAGTTTAGTTTCCTAGGGCTGCCGGAGCAAGGCGCCACACACTGAGTGACTCAGACGACAGAAATGCATTGTCTCACAGTCCTGGAGTTTAGAAGTCAAATTGAGGTATCCACAGTTTGGTTCCTTCTGCGGGCTATGAGGAGGAACCTTATTCCAGTCTTCTCCCCTAGCTTCTGGCTGTTGGCTGGCGATCCTTGGCGTTCCTTCGCTTTTTGAGCATCACCTTGATTTCTATGGTCCTCTTCACATGGCATTTTTTTCTCCCTGTGTGTGTCTCTGTGTCCACATTTCCCCTTTTTATAAGGATACCAATCAAATTGGAGTAAGGCCTGTCCTAATGACCTCATCTTAATCAATGACACCTGTAATCCCTATTGTCAAATCAGGTTGCATTCTTTGGTGTGAGGGTTAGGGCTTCAACATATGAATTTGGGGGGTGGGAGACACAACTCAACCCATAGCTGGGATTGTTTGTGGGAAGGGGGCTGGTGACATGCTCTCTGAAGTGACACCATCCTCACCTCTTCTTTGCACGTTGTCCCTGCTGCCAAAGGTGAAGAAAATTGAGGTTTGGAGGCTGGGCACTGGGCCTTTCACTCACGGTCTCAGTCACCTTCACAACAGCCCACCGAGGGGGGCTTGTTTGATCTCCTAGAGAGGAGGAGACGAGAAGAGAGGCCAGGTCACTTGACGGAGGTCAGCTGTGCTCTTGCCTTTCCTTTCTAACCAGCTGTGTCTTTTGTATCATTGGCGGGTCTCCCCTTAAAAGTGCATTAGGGGACAGAGTAACTATATTCAGTGAGCAATAACACTTTGGTTACGCAGAAGGGATCCCGGAGTGTT